GTGAGGATGTAGGCTCAGGCAACCCCCCTTGTGTCCTGAGACCTCGGTTTTCCCACTCTCTACGGACATTGCCTGGCTCTGAAGCTCTCAGAGTCCGGCCTTGTTTGTCTGTTTCTAAAATCACGTTAACTCTGCCTAGGGCCAGGGTCATGAGGGTTGGCCTCCAGCCCTGGGCCAAATGAGTGCTTTGTTGGAAGAGGCCAGAAACTCTGCTCCACCCGTGGATGCTTTGATGGAGACGCGAGCAAGCAGCTAGGGACCCAGGCATCTTAGAGAGTTTTGTAGGAAGTTCATCCCTGACTCTTATCAGAGGCGAGGAATCAGCTGCTCGTTGCCATGACTACGGGCAGCAGCACATCAGTGCCAGGTCTCTGATTAGCAGGAATGCAGGGAGGAGGAAGGCCTCAAGGAAGCCAGCATCCGTGGCTTCCCCCTCCCTCTGTGAAGTAGAGTGTGCCGGCCCTTAACTCCCTGTCTCAGCTGTCCCCTGAAGATCTTGTCTTCTTTTAAGTATTTTTTTAACTCAACATTGAATAACTATGTGGTAAAGATGAGGCAGCTGTGGGCATTTTTTTTTTTTTCAGCAGAAACGGGCCCTGAAAAGATGCAGAACTGGAAACAGGGAAGACACATGGGTGGGGGCTGAGGCTGAGGTCTGGTTCCACTGAAGGGCTGCAGTGCCTCACGATCTCTTCCTCCCGTCAACTCGGCACCTTGATTTGTAGGGGGGGGGGCAGAGCCTGAGCCATGGCTACCATATAAGATCAGTCAGCAGAATTCATCTGTTCATCCATCCATCCCTTCACCAGCCAACAGAGGCACCGCTGGACACTCTTTGATTATGTGGTAGTAAGGAGGCCAGTCCCTACCTCGAGAACTCCCACCCTCACCCAGAAGATGATCTGTTAAAGGACACAAAAAAAAATTCTCAGTGAAAGAAGACTGAACTCAGCCAGCCCCTGTGGTTCCTACCGCTGGTGAAGAGGGGTCAGAGTGAGATGCAGAAAGTCGGGGACGACTCTCAGCGAAGGTGACCCTTGAGAGAGGACGAGGAGATGGCCAGACAAGCTGCTGCAGGAGCTACATGCCAGGTGCAGAGGACAGCAAGCGCAAAGGCCCTGAGGCAGGAAAGCTTTGACCTAGTTGGGAAACAGTAAGAAGACCATATGGCCAGAACAATGGGAAAACAGGGAGAGACGCAGGAGGGGCAACCGAGGCCAGATCGTACGGTGGCGTCTTTAGATGTTGTACTTGATCTGACAAATGGCTATCTGGGTGTGGTTCTTGAGCAGGTAGATTCCTGGGTCCACCCCTTTGAGACTCTCATTCCTGGTATCTACGATGAGTCCTAGGATCTCATTCAGAAACATCATCGGGGAACTTTGATATTGTGCCAGGCTTGGGAAACACGGGATTTTAAAGCTCGCACTCTCCCCTCCAGTTCTAAGGAAGCTGAGCGGAGCTAGGGATGGCTCAGCACTTGGGTGCTTGCCGCACAAATGTGAGGACCTGAGTTCGATCCCCATGTAAGAAGCCGGCTGCAGTGACACACACTTAAAATCCCAGTTCTGGAAGGGTAAAGACAAGAAGATATTCAGAACTCACCGAACCTCAGCAAGCAAGCCCCAAGTCCCAGGGAGAGGCCCCATCTCAGAATGGTATCTGAGGTTGACCTCTGGCTTCCCCATGCATACTTGTGTACACACACACACACACACACACACACACACACACACACACACACACACACAATGTTAGGATGTCTGAAATAAGGTTTTGAATGTTCTGTCCTGGAGGACCCTGTTCTTCCCTTCAATACTTCCTGTAGAATTTATTACATTCCTGTTTGTTTTACTGCAGATTTCCCTGTGGGGTACCCCAGTCCAGAAAGCTGAAACTAGTACTGTCGGAGGAAAAGAGCAGGCTAGCACATCCCCCAGTGAACAATTCCAGAAATTTCACTGCGAAGATCTTATCTCTGATCTTACCTCTTGCTATCCCTGCATGTGCTGAGGTCTTTGAATTTGAGTCCTTCTGCCTGGTACACACCTCATCTTTCTGCAGATTCCTGTGCAGAAGGGATGCATTATTGTGCAAAAAAAAATCACTCCCAATCCTCTTGGCTAAAAACAAACCCAACAAGCGGTTGTGTTCGCAGTTTCTATGAGTTGAAAATGTGGCTGTGTAGTTTTGGCTCAGCACATCTCATGAGGTTGTCGTCAGATGCCACAAGGACTGTGTCCTCAGCCAAAAGCTTGTCCTGTGCTGGGGGGGTGGGCTCATATCCACATGCTCACTCACATGGCTGGATGTTGGTGATGGCTTTTGGCAGCAGGACCTCTCTGTGAGGCTGAGTGTCCCTACAACATGACAGATGATGGTCCTTAGAATGATCAGTCAGGGAGAGCAAGGGAAACATTGCCTGGTGATGTAGTTTGAAAGTCATACACTGCTGGGCAGAGGTGGCACATGCCTTTAATCCCTGCATTCAAGAGGCAGAGACGGGGGATCTCTGTGAGTTTGAGACCAGCTTGGTCTACAGAGCCAGTGTCAGGGCTACATGGAGAAACCCTGACTTCACAAAAAAAAAAAAAAAAAAAAAAAAAAAAAAAAAAAAGGGTCATATATGATCACTTCTACAGTTTTACTCATGGCAAGTGAGTCATTAAATCCATCCAATATTCTAGGGAAGAGAATATGGCTGGCAATAGTATCAATCAATCTGTGAATACATTTTAGGCCACCTCATTCTGCACCTTCCCTATCCCCGTTGCTCATCAAAGGGGTCTTCTCTGACTCTATGGAGTCAAAGGCACTCTCCCACTTTCCTAGCCCTCTATGCTACTCTATCCTCATCATAATTGGTCACATTCAATAAGTCACATTTTTCATTCTCAAGTGATAATGATCTCCTCTGCCATCTGGATATAAACTTCATGGTCACAGTAGCATCCCTGATGGGGTCACTGCCTCCCCACACTGACAACCAGCACTGAGGTTTGGAGATAATGAATTTGGGTTAGCTTGGACCAGGCAGGAGGCACCCTTGATTAGAATCTCCATTCCTCCTTGGCTGGCAGCGACGCCCAGCTCTGCTTCTGAAGATGTGCCAATCAGTGGCTGGCAGAGACAAATGTGTTGTTCTGCCCTTGCTTCCCCATTGACTGGGCTTGGCTCGCTCCCTGAAAACCATAAGGATCAGGGAACTTATCAGATGCATTCCTTGTGAGTCATAAAACCAGCAGGAGCCTGGTGCAGAAGAGCTGATGCCCTTCCATCTATCCATGCTGGATCTGAAGTCTGAAAGTAGAATGAACTAAAACAGTCCCAGGACCCTTAAGCTCCTGGCTCCTCTTGGTTTGGATACAGGGCTTTGAGTAACAGGATCTGCAAAGACTGAGTGATTAGGCAACTTCTTGTCCCTTCCTGAGACTCAACTGGTCGAGGCACATTAGTGACTCCCATGTGTTGTTTAGCAGGAGGAGAGAACCTTAAGCCTTCATGGAAATTGCTATTCCAAGTAGGTGACCTCACTCCTGCAAGAGGCACCAGACTGGTCGATTTGCAAGAAAGTGAAAGCAAGATAAAAGTTTTATTTTTTTCCTAGATCTTTTGGTTGGCCTAAGTTATCTTTGTCCTCATGGCAAATCAACAGTCTAGGGACTGGTGGTGTTCTCTGTTTTACTGTTGAGGGACTTGGAACTCAGGAGTCTAGTAGCTGGCTGTAGGTACTACAGATGCTGAATGGAGAAGGCAGTGTCCAAATTCAAGTATCCAATCGCCCCTCCCACCTGCCTGCATATCCAATAAGAATATTATCAAAGAAGCCGGGCGGTGGTGGCGCACGCCTTTAATCCCAGCACTCGGGAGGCAGAGGCAGGCGGATCTCTGCGAGTTCGAGGCCAGCCTGGG